TCTACGTTTTTTTTTTAGACGTGAATTCCACTTTTGAAACTTTTCAACTTCTCTTTGCAAAAATCGAATGACCGCACGACTTTCGCACCTGACGGTAACAGCGATGAAGCACTTTATTGCGCGTGGCTGTCGAGCCGGTGCTGAGCATCGCAAATAGGCGCTTCTTGTTGGGATCTATGGTGGGGTAGCCGACGAACACAACGGTGTTGCCAGATTTCGCCTACAAAGACAATAACAACACCGTTGGGAACCCTTTTTTTTTGGAGACAACCCTCGTAATAGATATTTCGCGTAAACATGACATTAGATGTCGATGAGTGCTAAGAATTATAAGTACAGCTTTTAAATAGTGCTGGTCATGTACAGTGACGACGAAAAAAAATGTACAAAACATATTTTTCATTCAAGTATCCTATAGTTTCTGTATTGGTCCAAAAAGTTCAAATTTACTTTCTATGCCACTGTTAGTCTTACAACCAAAGGTGAAAATTGCTCTGCGGTGGAAGGTTTGAACTTCAATTTAGTTACTTGGAAGCCTCAAAAATAGTAATTTTTAACTAAGATTTCAAGCATCGAAGATACCCATTCTCTGAGTCCGTTCTAACATTGAATCGCTTATAATTCGAAAAAGTTTTTCGTTCAAAACTTGAAAAAACCTTCTTCGGAGTGAAAAAGAAAAAAACAAAATTTGTCCCGCATTGAGAGAAAAGAAACTAGATAACTTTTTTCGTATTTTTTTTTGTCTCAACTGTACATGTACTAGTGTCATACCAGAACTATATTTTTAATATTATGACGTAAATCTGTTTACTATTTTATTAGAAATTTTATAATGTATAAGATAATTTTTATTTATATTATACCGTTGTTGTAGTAAACGAGCAATAGAAAGTGCGTTTTATTTATTTATTAATCCCACATATTGTTTGAAAATTATCATTAGTACAGTATAGATAAATTATTCTATCCATAAATGGACTGGTAAGTATTCTGAAATGAGTATAAAATTAATATTTAAGGTAAATATTTGTAGCAGTTTTCTAAATCCTTTTCATCTGATAATCTCATGGTGTGTATTACTAAAAACAACGTTTTAATTTTTTTTGTAAAAAAATTAATTTTTTGTGCATTTTATTATGCATCCTTTGTTAAGTCGGAACTTGTTAACAACTATAAGAACAGCTCTGAAATTGTGTATGAATATTCCTCTTTTATGGAAGAATGAAACGAGTGATTACTTTTGTTATCACTTTTTCCTTTTCGAAAAACCTTTTATTTTCTTGAAGCCTTTAGTTTTCAAGAAAAGAAAAAGTGATAAAAACAAAAGTAATCACTTGTTTCATTCTTCCATAAAAGAGGAATATTCACACACAATTTCAGAGCTATTTTTATATTTGTTAACAAGTTCCGATTGAAGAAAAAATGCACAAAAAAATGAAAGCGTTGTTTTTAGTCATCTCTATGCGCACCATGAAATTATCAGATGAAAATTAAACAGGAAGTTGGAAAAAATCTAAAAAAGGGACTTGCTACATTAATGCAAATATTAGATGATATCGGTGTCCTTTATGCCACGTCTAGGAATTGAGAGAAGAATGTTGCAAAGCGAAATCTTCCGGTCGTGTCGTCAGTCGTTACTACAATTGTAGGATGCATTCAGGGCCTCCTTGATTTTCATAGTTTTCTACTCTTCCGTGTCAGCGCTCCATTTTGAGGTTATGTTACAAATATCTATTTGCATCAAATTGTGCATGCTTGTGAGGTATATCATCCGTTATATAGCCCAAAATTTCCTACAATTCAAGAAGAAAACACAGCTTGACAATAAGACAGCGCTGACGCTGACATGGAACCGTAGAAATCTAGAAATGTCCAAGGCTTTCCGAGGGAGAGAAAAGACTATGAAAATCAAGAAGGCCATAAATGCGTCCTACAATTTGTCGGAACGACTGTCGATATGGCCCTTAACTCTTTAACACATATACGGGGTGTTAGGAAAGTTGTTAGAAACTTTTTAAGAGATTAAGCTATGCCGAGTAAGAGACATGAAGTCACTTAAGTGGTGGCAAGATTGCGCATTTAGGTAAACAAGAAAATTATGCTCAGAAAGATTTGCAATTCTGTTTTCGGCCACAGCAGAAACTACATTTTCCCAAAATCGTATTTTTTTCTGGCTTTATTTGTAATGCAATATCAAAATGAAAATTACATAAACATTGCCACTTTTTCTCCTCTACAATATGTCATCAACTTTATTTTTTTTCATAGACGAGAAGAGAATTTTGGCACATGTAAATAAAGTTTTTAATTCCGGTTTCAAAAAATTCATAATATATTGACATCAAATCTGACATATTTCAAAAACTAATTTTGTCATAGTTGGCTTTGAAAATCACCGTTTATCACATAGACAAGTTTTATAATATGGTTAATATGAAAAAAGAACTGATAGACAGACTGAAAATCAATATGGTTTTATCAATGGCAAAAGTACTGAAACTGCCGTTTACAGATTTACTGATTACGTAATCACAGCCCTTGATAATATATTTGTAGCCTTTTCTTAGACTTGGGAAAGCAAAATGTTCGTGTTGATAATTCCAGTAGCGATGTGACGGTACTCCTCAAGGATCGGTCCCGGGCCTTGTCTCTTTTTACTATATTATGCGAATGATCTCAATGAATATCTCCCGGACGCAGTTTCAAGTTGTAAAATTATATCATATGCGGATGATACTAAGATCTTATTGACCAGTTCTAGTAACATTGAACTCTTTCATAATAGTGAAAAAGTATGCACAACCGCTCAAAAATGGCCGGTGAATAACGGCCTTATATTAAATACAGATAAGACCTAATTTATGAAATTTTCACTAAGCGATAACAGGGATTTCAGTTTTTTTTAAACGATTCAGCAATTGAAGCATATCGTTCTGTTAAGTTGTTGGGTCATCTAACTTGGGGGCACACGTGGAATTGCTTGTGGTATAAAATATTTATCAAATCATTGAAGTAAACAAAAGTTTCACTTTACAATATTCAAGCTTTAACTGTCACTTGCGCTATGGCATTTTAAACTATGGAGACAGCTCATCGATAGATAAGAGTTCTCCAGAAATATATATATATATATATATATATATATATATATAGGTGAAAAATTAAAGCTTCCGCCTTTTGTTGGGTACTTCGACAAAATTTAAGCAAAGAGGACTCTTTATACTTTTTTTAATTCTCTCTAGCTTTCAATGGACTTTGCCATCATCATCAGGAGCTGCAATTACAATGATAACAGTAGCAACAAAAGTGTAAGATGAATTTAAATTGACTCAACTTACAGTAGTATGTGAGGGTGTTGCTAATTGTTGTTTACGTATAGGATGAGGGAAACGTCCAGTAAGATGGTGAGAGCTGGATACATGGTACAATGTTCAAAATTATATAAAATATGACAAGACAAGTTAAAAACAGATTAAAAATTATTTAAAAAACATTAGAGCATTACGTCGTGAAGCCACTTGATGATTGCACAAAATGGTGGTCATGGAATAATGAGTGAGATGAACCTTTGACAGAAGGCCGAAGGTTGTCAATGTCTGTGTTGAAAGATGGAACGAATTGTGGGCGTGTGCCAAAACGTTGCCAAATCACTTCAGATGATGTGATTTTCAGAATGTTATCTAAGAAATTGTTAAACCGACCAGAGGCAGTGGAATAAACTATATTTTAATTAATGGGAATTTTAAATTAACAATTATTAATAAATCGTGAGAAGAGAATTATTAGATTATTCCATGACCACCATTTTGTGCAATCATCAAGTGGTTTCACGACGTAATGCTCTAATGTTTTTTAAATAATTTTTAATTTGTTTTTAACTTGTCTTGTCATATTTTATATAATTTTGACCATTGTACCATGTATCCAGCTCTCACCATGTTACTGGACGTTTCCCTCATCCTATACGTAAACAACAATTAGCAACATCCTCACATACTACTGTAAGTTGAGTCAATTTAAATTCATTTTACACTTTTGTTGCTACTGTTATCATTGTAATTGCAGCTCCTGATGATGATGGCAAAGTCCATTGAAAGCTAGAGAGAATTAAAAAAAGTATAAAGAGTCCTCTTTGCTTAAATTTTGTCGAAGTACCCAACAAAAGGCGGAAGCTTTAATTTTTCACCTAACTGGTCTAGACGACAATGACCACGTCTCAAGTTATATATATATGTGTTATTAGAATCATTGAAAATCCTAATTGGTGTGAATATTGCAAGGATTATTTTTTATTATTACGAAAATTGCGCGTAATACAAAAACGGTTTGTACTATGATATATACCGGTTGTTTCAAATTCCACTCTCATCACGAGTACTTTCGGTGACGAATGAAACCAAAGTTTCCCAAAATATTTTTTTTCTGACTTGCTATAGGATTCCAAAATAAAAGGAACATTAACATTTCAATATGAAGTTTCGTCTCTGGTTGTCCGTTTGTCAACTTCATTTTCTCGGCTCCGACATGGTTCTTCTTACATACGAACGACCTCCTTTCCTGTACGATCAATCCGATCCACAGCTTTGCTGATGACAACACTTTACATGCAGGAATTTAGAGTGCCAGCCCCTCACTGTGTACAAGGCCCAGTTAAGAAACTGCTCACACGTTTGGGGTGCTGCTGTCTCGACTACATCATCCATGCTCGATGCTATCTAGAGGAGGGCTGTCCAGATGATCGATGACTTCTTTAACGGACAGTATCGAGACCCTTCGAACTGACCGCTCCTTTGTCTCTGAGTTATCGAGATTGTGGAACAATCTGCGTGATGAGGCTCTCCCCATTTCTACTAACTTGAGCAGTTCAAAAATCTGACCATCAACTAAACCCCAGTATTTAGGCTTCTGCCTTCGGTTTGAAAAAATGATTCAACTCGAAGTATATTCTGATCCTCTGTAATCCAGCTACCAATTTGTTTCTAATTTTATCGAATGCTTAGGGAGGAAGCTTGAGCGTCCACCCCGAGGACACGAAACAGCTGCTGGGAACCCCCGGCGGTGGGCAATTACAGGACCTGCCAGACAACGAAATGCCCGCCGTTCCGCCACCGGAAATCACAGACACGATAGACGGTAAGCTTATCTTAGATTAACGCATGCACGATGTCAATGCTTAATCTTTCTTTTTGGTTATCTCATCGCCATGTTGGTGTAACGCGATTTCGCCTCAGCGATACCTCATACATCGATGTCTAACCGGTAAAGTTACTTCTTTGTCCACAATGAAGGAAAATACTATCACAGGATAAATGATGAAATAATTGGAAGTGTAAATGTAGCCTTTTATAAACATTTTATGGCAGCTTGGCAACACCGCCTCGATACATGCAGAGCCATCTATGAGCGAACCGCCAAGCCAAGTACGGGGCGCATGTCACAGTAAGGATAAATGATTAAATAATTGGAAATGTTGAAAGCCTTCAGTTGGGTACTTCGACTAGATTAAAGCAATGAGTGCTCTTTTTACTTTATTTTCTCAAGGTTTCGATGAACTTTGTCATCATAATCAGGAGCTATAATAGCATCTGGAGGAATAGCAACTACAGGTGCAAGATTGATTTTAAACCACCTACAACAGTATGTGAGATTGTTGCTGAATGTTATTATTAATTGAGTTAATGAGCATTTGTAAAAACACACAGCTTATGTCAGAAACACATCACAGCGGATTAAAAACTTTAGGAGCGATTGTTAAAATTTGACAACATTACATCGTAAAAAAATAATCTTGCTGCTTAACAAGATGGTGCACGGAATCAAAAAGAAAATATGACAGTTGACGTTGGCTGATAGGTGACAGTGTCAGTGGATGGAGCATGTGTGTCAGTGTTATAGACTGTTGCCACCTCTACTTGAAAAAATCTGTAATTTTTCAAGACTATGTCTAACGAATGTACCATGGATCCAGCTTTCACCAGGCTACTAAATGTTATCATCAACTTAATTAATAATAACATTCAGCAACAATCTCCCATAAGTAGTTTAAAATCAATCTTGCACCCGTAGTTGCTATTTTTTCAAATGCTGTTTCAGCTCCTGATGATGATGACAAAGTTCATCGAAAGCTTGAGAAAATAAAGTAAAAAGAGTACTCATTGCTTTAATCTTGTCGAAGTACCCAATTAAAGGCAGCGAACGTGCACCTTAGAATGCGAAGACTGTCCTATCGGCCACTGTTCTCTGGGATTCACAAGGTGTGATCCACATCAACTACCTGGACAAGGGCGAAATGGTCACAGGAGTCTACTATGCCGAATTATTGGGTCAATTGCAGAAAAACCGGCCCCATTTGGCGGAGAAAAAAGTGCGCTTCCTTGCTAAAGTCACAGCCAAAATAGGCTACGAACTGCTGCCCCATCCACCGTATTCTCCAGATTTGGCCCCGTGCAAGTTTTTTTTCTAAACTTGAAAAAGTCACTCGCCGAGCAAAAATTTGAGTCGTATGAGGAGGTTATCGCCGCCCCAGAGGCCTACTGTGCAGACCTCCAAAAAATGTATTTTTTTTTATATAGTAGTTGGAGCATCGCTAGGACAAGTCGATCAAGCGTAAAGGAGACTATGTTCTTATCGGACCGCGTTTTTGAACAACCACGATATCCCACATATGTTTACGTCAAGAAAGCTATAAGCGACATAACTTCCAAGATGGGACCAAACGGAAATTAGTCGTTAGTGAAAACAATATTTTGTGATGTAACCGCCAAAAGCCATAAATCAACTATACATATATAAATAATAAATGTTCTTATTAAAAAACGCAAAATGTTATTATAGATGGAGATATTTGCAACCTACGAAATATATTTTTCATTCAATAGTTATAATTCACACTTTTCGGTCTATTCCTAGACAGCCTGCCTTACGACGATAGGTTTATTTATTTCGTATGATTTTTTTATATAACCACCAAAAACCGTGAAAAGAGCTGAACTGCATTCTGCTCAGTATAAATGTAGCATTTTATAAACATTTTACGGCAGTTCGGCAACACCGCCTCGATACATGCACTATGATCGAATCGGCCTACGAAATATATTTTTCATTCAATAGTTATAATTTACACTTTTCGATCTATTCCATACGGTCGCGACTTACCTAGACAGCCTGGCCTTACGACGATATGTTTATTTATTTCGTATGATTTTTTTATATAACCACCAAAAACCGTGAACACAGCTGAACTGCATTCTGCCCAGTATAAATGTAGCATTTTATAAACATTTTACGGCAGCTTGGCAACACCGCCTCGATACATGCACTATGATCGAATCGGCAAGCCAAGTACGGGGCGCACAGATATGTAAACAAGTAATAGTGCAAGAGCCGACTGCAAAGTTTTGCGCAGTGATATGGAAAACTTGTCAAATTTTACGAATTTTGATGCCAAACCGCAAACTTTTCATAATTGCTCTTGGGTCCAACGATACTAACAAGCCGAAGATAGTATTTGTGAAAGACAAAGTCCGACAGTATGAACTAGCTTGACTTTGCACCATATATCTCAGAATTTCGTGATCTAAGAGTCAAAACCACTGAATTCATCAGTTTTTCCAAAAATGGTTTTTGGCAGTCCCAATGATTTGTTTCAATGAGTGATAATCAGAAACTGCTTGTTCGTTTGACCTATATGTTTAAAAAACTGGAGGTATCGCTGAGCTGAAATACATCATCACGCTTATTTCTTCCTGACATTTCAGACGAGGTTTTATTCGGTGTACAAAATGATATGGCTTCATCCGACAGGCTTAAAATAAAACATTTTGAAGTTACTTCGTTTTATTTTATATGCATGGCTTTGTTCTGCCCACGCATATCCTGTACCAGATGACTTTTGAACACAAAAGAGTAGCACCGTTAGACATTTCAAGACTCTTCTGGTGGAAACCGCACATCATCTGAGTCAAGCTTCCTTTTGCACTTACCTGCATGTACACAAAAAATAAAAGGTGACGTTTCTGAATTGGTCTGTCACTCCTAACACAGTTATGAATGCAACAACATTTTGCTGAATATCCTACGTCTTTTACAAGCCTGTCAATTCTTAAAGTCACATCTAAAAATTGAGAAGCGGCTCTAGTAGCTCTTCACATTCCAACCTTCCCAGAATTCAAAGATAATGCAAACAGATACTTGGAAATTGCATTATTAAATATTTTGCTATTAGAATTATTGTCCATATACAGATTGTAAAAGTTCGCGTCAAATATCTGAGGAATGATTAATCTAATTTTTTTTAAAATTGGTAGGTTCAGGCGGATCCGTTGATGATGTCCGCGATGTTGCCAAATCTACAGTTTTTTTCAGTAACTGCTAGCAACTTCCATGAAAAACGGACCGATTATCTTTGAGCTATGATACCGGCTCAAACATTAATTTTTGTGGATATTGTGTATGATGTTCCCGTACCCAGTGAGGATTTTCCCGGGCCCAGTAGCGGCAGTTATGGCGATTAACAGTTCCGTTCAAAGAAAAACTGGAAAAAAACACCGTTTATTGTTTGACCGCGAATATTTCAAAAACTATGAGGTCTACGTCAAAGTATGTTTAGTAAAAGGTATTCAGAATTTCTGGCAGAATACAGATATCGGATAAAATGTATAGTATTTCATGAGAAGAACAAAAGTTGCTATCAGTTTCTGAAAAACTGTAAATTTGGCAACATCGCGGATATCACCGACGGATCCGCCGTAGTTTGTCCGATATTCGATGCGTTCCCGACTTTTGTTTCAGTCTGTATGTTTTATTTGTTCCTTAGCTACTTCACCAACTTGTATGCGCTTCAACCATAGAACCTGTCAGCAGTTATCATCATTTTATATTTATCGTTTGCCTGTATATAGTATATGTTTTCTCTAAAAATACCTTTAACACTTTTTCTAACACTAAATGTTTTTAAGTGCATCATCGCCAAACTTTGGTATTGTGTCTACAATATGCATGCTATTTGTAAATAATACTTCTATACTTCCTGATCTGAAAACGCGGAACGATTATCTACGTCGAAAATAAATAAAAAAATCAATATTTAAGATACTAGTATTTAGTGTAGTGGTTGGTTGTGTGGTATAAAAATGAATAAAACAGTAAGTATGATATGGTGAAGTGTGGATATGATATAAAGAGCAACTATCTTATATCTGTTTATTTTAGGTTTCAATCAAGTTGATAGAAACTAACTAGAATTTATACTGGAATCAAAAATGGATGTTTGTCCTTGAAATACAATATCCTAAGGCAAGTTAATTTGTTTAAACAAATTTGTTTTATTTTAATTTCATCGTATTTTATATTTTTGTTTGACACCATGAATTAGATAGATGCTTCAACTGTCGACCATTCATGAGATGAGTTTTTTAAGTTGTCCAATTATTTTTGGAAATACTGTACGTTCCGAAAGTTTTTATATGGAAAATGAAATGGTCAGATCATAAATGCTCGACTTAGCTCATATAATGTTTGTTTTATAAACAGTTGCGAAAACAGCTATATTTTTTTATTTTACAGTCCAAACTGTATATTAAATATGTATATATACATCGCAATGGTGCAGGGTTGTCTTCCGAATATTTCTGTTTCAAAATATTGCATGATTTAACAAATTATTTAAACTTCAAAATTTACATGGCTCGGCAGTTTTAATTGTAGACTATTTTGAAAACAAACGTTTATTTTCATTCAGTGTTAATGGTGTGTTTTTATATTCATTCCTAGATTGATCATTTTGCATAAGATTTGAAAAATAAATTATTCTAATTTTTATAGCATTTAAATTGTAAATTATTGTACTCGAATCACGCCGTGCAGGAAGTGTAGTAAGAAAATATCTAAACCAATTCTCTATCTTACTAATCTTGTAAATACCCTTACTTCTCTGTTGCTAACTATTACTTATTAATGATACGATATTAACGGTAATTTGTTCATAATGAGCTTATTGCGATTGCCGCGTAAATCAATGTCAGATCGTTAGTTTAAATGAAAAACCTCAAATTCGATAGATAACGCTGATGTGTCCTTCCAACCAAGCCCATCCGCAGAAGTTTATAATTTTCCGTTATTATTCAAGGTCTGTC